CATCGATAGTGGTGAGTCTGATTGTTTATGTGGTTGCGGAGAGACACGCCAAGCATCTTTCGCTCTATCCCTCTATCAATCACAGCCAGCGCTCGCTCTTCAACTTCCGTTAGCTTCCCCTTGAGCTTTATATATTTTTGTACAGCATCGTCAAAAGAAAATATGTTAAATTCGATTGCTTACTTGTTGGTGGTTGATAAAGGAAGAAGCGAAAACACCTAGTTCTGTCGGGTTCCCATAATGTAGTAGTGTATTTTGCATCCAAAAAATCGGTATACTTAAACGGCGATTCATCGGCCCATTTGAATGTTTTATTCTTAAACGTCAGGCCAATCAACAATGGTAAACCTCGACCATTATTTAGAAAACGATCAAAACCTGCAACGAAAAGTTGGTTGATTATTTTTTTCATCATCAAATTCGCCCGGACTATAAAAGAGGAGATTCAGTTTCAGTACCGCAGGGTCATCAAAATGCATGGATGTAAAGAATGAGACTTCTTTAAGGTAGGAAACACCAAAATTGCCTAGACGCTAGGGAAAGTAAAATTGGAATGCGATATATTCTTCATACAGATTTGCTTGAAACGACTACTGTTTCACCACTGAACCATACTAGGAACACTATCCAGTGATTTACCGACAACCATGCCATTTTCTTGTTTCATTTCATGCTTATTTTCATCAATGCTATATCTCCTGGTAGTCATCTTTCTGGCGACCCATACCTTTCTGTCTCTTGAACAGGTTACTGGCTCAATTACTATCCCACTGCGGCTAAAGCGTGCAGCTGTGTGTCCTAGGCTATAACTGTTTCGTGTTCTTGTTCAATGATTTACCGTGTAAATGGACCTATAAATGGACCTTATTCCCCTTGTAAAACTGTGCACTGTTTTGGTAATTCTTAACAGTGTTAGGACTTTTGCTACAACTGACAGAACTATAATTGGTAAATCGGACCTGGATTGCATGTTATAACCCCTGCTTGTATGTGACAATATCTTAAAATTTCAAGGTTTTTTTGAGATAAGGATGAAAAGAATAACAAAGTAGTGACGGGGGTGGTGGGAAGGAGGAGGTGCGAAGAAGAGAGGAGAAAGGCAGGAGCTAAAAAAGAGATAGAGTGTTAAGTTCCTGTTTCGTGGCTTTTACAAATCTTAGCGTTAGTTGAAACATTGGAATTATCAGAAAGTTTTCAGTTCTTCCAGTCTGTTTTGGAATTTATCCATAAAAAAGTCCTGGGATATTAATACGGAAGCCTAAAAAATCCTTGCTTTTTCCTTTTTTCTAAAAAAACATAAATCCTCCTTCTCTCCAATCCTCTTAATTCACTGCCCTTATCCCAAAAAGCTTCCCGTTCTCCTCTTTATCCCCCACTCCTAGAAAAATGAAAAAATTTTTTTCAGTTCAGCTACTTCTTAACCAGGTGCATACTTCGATAAACATTTGTGACAAAATGGAATTCGGCTTCGTTCCGAAACGTCACACTGGAGAAAACTGGCCGCGCACTGTTCTCATCGGGTTGGCAGAGCAGCTGGTCAACAGTTTCCATATTCTTGAAAATTTCATAGTCGGGGTACTTCTGCAACAAAGAAAAGCATTAT